CCTCCATGGCACAAAAATCTATTCAAGAACCTTCGTCTCCTCTCAATGGATTGGAAAAAAGGAAAAAAAAAAAGAAAAAAGAAAAAAAAGGATCTAAAACTTCATTCCTTCTTTACCCTAGGTTGCCAGAGACTATTATCAACCATAAGACTTAAAAGTTCCTTGCCCACTCTAGAGACCTGCTCATCCAGCAATTCTATGCTTGACCCACCAGTTTGATATTTTGTCAATGAATGAATACTTGGATCACAATTTTTAGGAGGGATGGAGGATCCCCATTCAAGGTGTAGGGATTTAACAAGACAAGGCAGTGCTCAGAGAATCTAAGGTAGGTATAGGTAAAATACATCAGCTCAACCCCAAAGAGGGGCCTCCTCTCAATTGCTGGAAACCCGACGCAATCTTGGCCATAGCACACTGTCTGGTTGTTGGTACAGTTAATTATCAGTGCACCATCCATGGGGAGATCAACGAATTCATGTCACCCCATAAAGCAAGAAAAATAAGTCATAGTTTGGGAAGTTGCCAACAATTCTTCATGTAGGAGAACCTAATTATACTAAAGTCATTGCCTTGTAAATAAGTGTCAAATTAGATCTTCTTAAATAGGGAATAATTACATACAAAAACATATCTGCAATAGAGTATTCAGACTCAACATCCACTGCCCATGTTTCTCCAAGGATGGTGGATATGAATTATTGCCCACTTTTATAGCCACCTTATTTTTTAGGGAAAAACTAAACTCCACTGCCACGGGTATGTATGGACCCTTGATGTTGGACATGAGTACTGGAATACTATACCTGTGAGAAGATTGATATGTGGTCCGTTCAACTGACCCCAACTCTTGGGGCTTACAAATTACCAGGTAATTTAGGTTATTCACAATGATGTTTCTCTTTTTTTTTCTTTTAAATTGTAAACAGTTACCAACATGACATAAGAGAAACCTTGTTGAATAAGAACACTATTGATTGAGAAAATATCTTTGTATGCCCTATTTTGAAGTTCCATTTCCCAATAGATATCTTCTAACCCCTTGAACCAACTTTACCCCTTTTGACCACCCCTTTTTAGCCCAAACAAAAGTAAGAAAGACGCCCGAGTCTATTCCTTTCTAAACCCCTCTCTATCAATAATGTGTTTCTCTCTCTCTCTCTCTCTCTCTCTCTCTCTCTCGCCCATCTCCCCTTAACATCTCTATCTTCGAGAGAGAGAAACTCGTTATAGAGAGAGGTTTAGAAAGAAATAGACATGAGTGTCTTTCTACCTTTTGTTTGGGCTAAAAAGGGATGGTCAAAAGGGATAAATTTGGTCAGATGTACTATGTGGGATCTCTATGCCGCCAGAAATGTTTTCAAATCCTGGATTTGTTGGGAAAAGAAAATTCAAAATAGGGCGTACGGATATATCTTCCCATAATTTTATTGTTCCTCTTGAGATATTTGATTTTCATTTCTTCTAGGCCTCCCCAAGGCCCCGGAGAATCTATAAGAGAATGTTCATTTGAATCTAAATGTCTTAAACCACCAAAGGAACCCTCAGCAGTGAGCCAGCTTGCTTACATTGAAACCACATAGGCACCTTCATTACCATCATCATCATTATAGCCTTTTCCCAACTAATAGGGGTCAGCTACATAAATCTTGGTTTGCCATTCTGCTCAATTAAGGATCATACACTCAGTGATATCATAAGTCCCCATATTTTTTCTCACTACTTCCAACCTTGCCCCTTTTGAGCCTATCCCTTGCCCCTTTTGAGCCTTCCAAATGAATTAACTCGCAACTCCTAACAGATGTTGTACTGGGTCTGCGCCACATATAGCCAGCCTACCTAAGTCTACTTTCTCTCATCTTATCGTCTATTGGTGCCACACTAAATTTTCCCAAATGTATTCATTTCAAATTGTAACCTTTTTTGTCTTTTCACTCATCCATCTCAACATCCTCATCTTAGCTACACTCATTCTATGAGTATGTTGTTTCTTGATCGCCAAACATTTTGCCCCATAAAGTAAAGCTGGTCTCACAACTGTCCTATAGAACTTGCCCTTCAACTTCATTGGTATGCGGCAATCACATAAAACTCCAATTGCACATCTCCACTTTACCCCCCGACCTCTAATTCTATGTACAACATCTTCCACAATCTCCCTATTTTCCTATATTATCGACCCAAGATATCAAAATGTGCTCTTTTTGGTATTTCTTGACCGTGAGGTCGACAATTTTAACTACTTCCTCATCTCTACCCTTATTATTACTAAACTAGCATTGCATATACTCTGTCTCAGTCCGGTTAATTTTAAAACCTTTAGATTTCAAAGCATCCCTTCAAAGATCTAACTTTGCGTTGATGCCATTTTTGGCCTCGTTGATCAAAACTATGTCATCCGCGAACAGTATGCACCACGGTACCTCATCTTCTAGGTGCCTAGCTAAGTTGTCCATAATTAAGACAAATAGATATGGGCTCAACGCTAACCCCTGATCTAGACCCATTGTCACTGAAAACTCGCTCATCTCTCCACTATTTGTTCATTTACTAGTTAGCGCTCCCTCGTACATATCTCTAACCAAGTCGATGTAGTGTCTGGAGATTCCTTTCTTTTCCAACACCCACCAATTCAAATATATATATTCTCTATCATAAGCTTTCTCTAGATCAATAAATACCATGTGGAGGTCTTTTCCCTTTGATCTAAAGATTCTAAACTTCTCAATCAGTTGCTCAAGTAGGAAAATAGCCTCGGTTGTTGATCTCCCTGGCGCAAAACCGAATTGGTTTTCGGATACACTCGTTTCATGTCTTAGTCGTTGCTCAATCACTCTCTCATAGTTAATATAGGAAGCCAAATTCTTAACACCATTGATCACCACTTTGTTGATGCCTTGCCCAGCATCTCCCCTAACCCCTTCCTAAGGCTCTCTTAGTAACACTCTTAGAGACGCAATTGAAGGATGTATACATAAGGAACCTCAGCAATGCGTCTACCATGAGTATCCTTAACTCTGACACCTCTATCATGTTACCCACAAAGGACAGACCAAGACACGACATCAAATCTAACATCTCTGCCATCTTACACACGAACAATAGACAAAATATTGGTCATCTAACCTAACAATCAGCCTTTCCTTGTGTTAAAAAGTGGTCTCTCTGAGTCTCCCATAGATGATGTCACCGGTCCCACAAACTACTCAGAACCACCAAGAATCCATTATTTCCCTAAAACTCTAGGCCCAAAATATCAATCCCCTTTAACTTTATCCATAACTATCAATATATAGACCTTTCCACATCCACAACTGTATATTAGTATTTCCATATTACATGTAAATGCAAGGAACAAAGTGTGACCAAAATGTTCTCCCCAAGTAACTCGTATACAGTGGGATTGCAAGTCATAAAGAGTTTCTATTCCACCGCCAGTGAAGTTCGCAAGATTAGGGTGAAAGACACCAAACAAAGCCACTCAATAAAAAGGAGAAAAGCCCAATATCCAAATAGAGAAAATAAGGAGGGGCCCAAAAAGGTCCGAAAGCAAGAATAAACCATGGCCTCAGCAGATGGATCAAAATGATATTTTAGTTTTCCGTTTCAATAACCCAAGTTCTAACAGTTTGAAATCCTTCCTCAAAAAAATACATAGGGGAGTAAATGAAAGCCCCTCTACATTAGTTACATAACCTAATGCTTGGAAAACAAATTGATCCAAAATGTAGAAAACGTTACCACAGAGAAACCTATTAAAGAATTATGTGAAATGATCCAAGATAAATCCTTTCTAAACCCCTCTACTGCCACACAAACATACTCACAAGAAGAAAAAAAATCTTGGAAACCCATGTAAATTCCACAAAAACCATTATTATATTTAAACTCTATTCAACAAATACTAGTACTCTTTTTTAATGTGCTAACATTCAACAAACACTCATATTAGAAAAGGAAAAACCTCCATTCAATTGTGTTGTATAAAATCCTATTAAATCACCTAAAAAAACTCAAAAGGCAGAAAGGACAAAAGACTGGTTTTGTGTTTAGCCAGTCAATGATGGTTCAGTCATACGGATAATTGATCATGTGTTTCTTTTTACCCTTGAGACATTGTGATCTCTCTCTACTTCAAAAAACAAGAAAATTTGCATTCAACTACCTCGCTAGATACTCCAAAAGGAATACTGCAGCAAGACCAATATGACAAGAAATGCTTTCACAAAAGAAGAAGGTAAAATGATTAATTCCTCATCAGAAGAAACAATGGAAAATTTTATGCTTCCATAGCACCATTTGTTCTAGCCATGGGACATGTGAACATTAGATTCCTCATTCACTATATGAGAGTAAATCAGATAAATGTTTCACTTCCATGGATAATGCATATTCTATCCTTTCCTCCAAAGGCAAGTGTAGCCTGCACATCAAAGCCTAAGGAGCCCAAACTTGAAAGATGAGAATTGAAAGTCGAATCAATGGAATCAGTTCATCTATCTTGCTTTACAGATCTTTATATCAGTTGTGTAAAGCATGTTACAAAAACCCCATGTTGTTACTAAACAAGGTAGTGGGGGAAATGAAATAAATAAATCAGAAAACTAAAAATAAAAATAAATGGACAAGAGAACTACCCATAAATCATAAAAATTAAAAGTGGAATTGTACAACAGCAGATGGGGAGAAAAAAAAGTCGTATTGTACAATGAATTTCAACAATATATCAGTTTATAAGAAATAAATTCACAAGAATACGTATGTCCTTGCCAAAGAATGTAAATATTCATAACAAGCAACTCCATGAGAGGAGATCCAAAAGAGAACACAATAATATGGAAACTTCATGGGCAATCAAACTCTAACTGACTCTACCTTGGATGGCCAAGTTAGAGTTGCAGAATCTTAGAAACACCAAAAAATCTTGAAATAGGGAACCTTTTTTCAGTTTTCAACATGAGAGCAAATTTAACAATAAGGAAGTGGAAAAGAAATGTTACCAAAACACATGTATCTGTATGGTTTGCATGGTACAAACTCTCGGGCAAGCAGTTCCTAACAAGTTCAAGTAAGTGCCATCCGGACAAAGATGGAAGTGAATCCATGGAGGGCAAAGCACTCTTCAGTTCATTTCTCAACCTTTGTAAAGCAGGCATGTTGGGCATAGATGGAAGGCAATGCATAAGTTCCTTGTGAAGATCAGCCCTCTTAAGTACATCAGGTAAATTTGGCAAAGAGTGGAGGTCCACAACCTTCGGCAACTTCACAGCAGTGTATATCGTGAGGGAAAGAAATAAGAAAAATCCAATCAGATGCCTGAAGGAAGAATAGCAACTCCAAGTAAGGAAAATAATTAAAAGAGCTACTGAAATGAGAATGAAAGGTAAATGTTTTATAACTGCAATCGAACTTTAAAAATTAAACACTATAAGTCTAAAATCAATAAAGGAAGTACCCAACGATAAATAATAGGCGAAGGCCATCAGTACAATTTATTCAACAGACCTTCTTATTCGAAATTATTGTAACTGAAAACAATTTGTAGCTGACGCAAAAATAGAGCATGAATAGTGTCATTCATGGCGAAACATAAAAAACCATGTATACGGATTTAAAGCACAAACGAAACTAACTACGTCCACCATTAAAGTTTTGTAAGGAGAAAACAAATATTAGTCATAACATGTTACTCTATCATAAGCAACATTTGTGAAAATCACCAAGCCATTTGAAAAAGATATTTATACCACCCAACAGATAGCTCAGTCGGGTTAATTAACAGAAACCCAAGATCATTATGCAAAAAACATTTGAAAATTTCGTTAAATTAAAGACTGTAGTATCTATTTTCTTAATCAGAGTGATATTGTAATCCCTAGTTGTCTTGAAATGCAACGGGTTTTTGTGGCAAACACTTACGTCCACACATTGAGAGTCTCATTATGAATGGTGAAGATGCTGAGGAAGATCTCCTTCAATGGCCACTCTGACCTGTAATGACCTATGATATACTCATTGTCCCTCAAATAACCAGGCAAAGAATGATACTCAACCAACTGATACTTCACCCTCTTCCAAAGCCTCTTCCCCTTCCCCTCTGTACTTTGAGAATTAATCTCAGAAGAAACGACCCCACAATCTGAAGAAGCCTCACTCATCCTCAAAATCCTATAACCAGCACGAGACCAAATTAAAAAAAAAAAGCTTATATTTCAAACCCAAGGAAATAAAACAAAAAGTAATGAAGAAGACACGACGAATACACCTCAAAATTTGGAAATTTTGAACAAACCAATCGATCTCTATCTATAATCAAAGAACCCATTTCAAAAAAGAAGAGAGAGACAGAGAGGGGGGAGATGAATTACAAATGGAAATCGGGAAAAGTATACCAGAACCTCTTGCTCAAAACCAAATCCCTAAAACTCTGGTCTAAACCATGAATCTTTTTCTGAAAACAGAGAACCCATTTGGAAGAGAGAGAAAGCTACCTTAAGTTGCACAATCCACTTCAAACAGAGAGCACAAAAACCCAAATGAAAGGTGCTACCCCTGCCAAGTATCAACCAGAAACTAGGGCATTTAAACCGTGAAAAACCTCTCTCTAACCGACGAGAATACCCAGAAAAACCTCTCTCTAACCGTCAGGAACGGATAGATACGAGGAAATCAGCACTTCCAATAAGGAAAAACAATCAACTAAAATACCCCAATGTCAGGATGAGAATGCCACACAATAAACAATGGGATTTGAAGTAGGACAGGAGGCAATGGCGTCTCCACAGAGGAAACGATGCCTTGAAAACGCCGCGAAATTTGGGGAAAAAATATTCCCCTTTGGGACTCAGTCGATGGCTTCTTCCGGGCTCTCAGGCACGGCGCGCGGTCAGAACTTTAAATCTTAGAGAGAGAGTGTAAAATTTTAGAGAGAGAGAGAGAGAGAGAGGATATGCTGTAGAGAGAGAATCGAATATCTCTCGAGGCGCGTTGCGTGAAGGACGTTACCGGTAATAAATATGAGCCCCCCCCAAATGTTTAATAAATGAAGGACCCGGTTTCTGTGCGGCCAAGCCCGCGTATATCGAAATGCGGGGCCTATGATAAATCCATTTTTGAGTTGTATTTTTTGACTTAATTTTTTAAGACATATATTCCCTAAGATGGAGATCACGAATATGAAAAAAATAAATAAATTTAAAAATTAAAAATAATAATTCTAATAAAAAAGCATTTGAACCGATAGTTTCTATTGCTTTTAGATGGAACACGTGCTTGCATCCTTACTTTAAACTTTTTTGGATCGCAAATATAGTTCAGCCCACATGAAACAATTTTTCATACATAAATATGTCACGCACTTTCGAGTAAGGCTGGCAACGGGCCAAGCAAGCTCGCCCCCCTAGCCCACCCTAGTTATATTTATGCTCGACCAACCTATAAAAATAAAAAAAAACAAGGGAGAAATAAAGAAAAAAAAGGAGCGTGGGACTAAGTCTAACCAGGCCGCTGTGTTGTAGCTCTCACCATGCTTAGGCTCTACATTTCTAGGATTGGGCCGTGCCCGGCTGAGCCGGGCCACGCAACCAATGGCCACCCCTATTCAAGATTTAAGGAGGACGGCGTACACGATGCTGTAATTATTGGTGAGAATCGTAGGTTCCTTGGGATTTGTGGGACTTGGGAGGTGGGCGTGGGGGACCCTTCCACACGTCTTTTGGCACTTTCTCTCTTTGTTTGTTTGTTTGTTCGTGTGGTAATCAACTTTAGTAAAAATGAACTGTTGCGTCCAAAATTAATATGGTTTTGTCCTTTTAATATTCCTTGTGGAAAAGTATACCAATATGATTATTTATCTTTGGGTTTGTTTAGAGTTAACGATCTCTCAATTTATAAAAATTAATATTAAAATATTTTTAAATAAATACTATTTATAAAAAATAAACGTAGTATGTATAAAGTCGAGACTCTAAACAATCAAAATAAAACGTGAAGAAAAAAGTGGTTTCAATACTTAAAAAGGGTTTTGTTTCACAACACCACGTTTGGTGTAAAGCTTTATCCTGCACAACAAATTAAAAAGTTGATCAAAATATACAAAAGATGAAATACTTTCTATATTTTTTGTTTGGCCATTTTAATCCTTAACAATTTAAGGCTTTTACATTGAAAACTTTCCCACAAATTGTGGTCCCGTTCACTCTACATCTTTGAGTTGATAAATGCAAGGAATTGGGTCTATATCCCACGTGTCGTGTACACCCCAAAAGTATACTCCACGAACCTTGTCCACACCCCATTTATAATGGGCCTGCAATACCAAACTAGAAACCCGAATCTATACCTCAATAACACCCGTTTCTCTCTCTAGATAACGTATTTGTTTCTCTGTTTCTCTCTCTGCATAAAATTGTTTCTCTCTGCACCATGGTTTTATATTTAGGACTTGGATTCAATTGAATAAAATTAGTGGAATTTTTGTCAATTTTTAAAAATTACAGTTTGTTTTTGCTTATATTACTTGAGAAAATATTGGCCTCCCATTTCAAGGCTTTTATGGGGGCTCCGTTTAGAGAGGGGATTTTTATCTCTAAAGCGTGGAGGCGATCTCCAAAGAGAGAGATGCTTTGTAACTGGGAAATGAAGAGAGGGAGGGGACGGGGAAGAGATCCCGTGGAAATTTTTCCTATGTAAAAAAAAGACAAAAATAACCCATAATAATTAACAATTTTTATTTAACTTAATTGGTTTGTTCATCCAAAAGTGTTGAGGACTTTAGGGCTTTACACCAAACCCTTTTGTAGTGTAGCTTAATAAAACCCAAACTTAAAATCTTTGTGCTATCTTAAAATGTATTTTTATTTCTAATTACAAAATTTAAAGCTTCAAAAATAGTGTGGAACGAGTAGATTTATGAAAACTTGAAAATCTTGAAAATTGTTGATCAAAAAATGGATTACAATATGCACTATTTTCAAAACTAGAAATCCATTGTTTACTCGTGTCCATGCATCTTGAGGCCGACATGATCAGTTTGAGGATATTTGAGCATCAAAACAACCTCTTGTAGTGAAATTTTTGAAGTGCACCCTAATTTGATTGTTTAGAGTTAGAACTTATAAATTTATTCCATAAGAAAAGCATTACTCTTTATATAAAAAACATATTAATAGGTATTTAATCGCTAATTGGGGAAATTTTGAAATTTTTTTAAAAGCACAATGGTATTTCACTCATTTCAAATTTATTATTGACTAGAATGTGCTCCATGTATCAAGGATATATGGTCTTAAAACATACAACCCCCTTTAAATAAGGAAAAGTTTATATAAGGATGCCACCTTTTGATGTAGAACTACGGATGCCCCTCAAAATCCATCGGAAAAGGTAGTTTTAATGTTGAAAAACTATTTGATTGATCATCTCGACATCGAGATGTATGCCTATGAAAAATAAAAATATTTTGAAGTATAAAAAATAGTGCATTTTATAACATATTATCTACACTGTCCATTTTCAAAATTTTCATTTGTTTATAGATCTACTTGATTTTAACCGTTTTTTAAATTTAAAATTTTATAATTAGGTATAAATATAGATTTTGAGATAATCCTAAGAACATTTTACATCAAAATTATATACCATGATAAAATTTGAAAGTGCCTCTACACCTACGGATGCATCCCTATGCTAATTGCACTATGTAAATAAGGATAGTTTTTTAGTCCATTCACTCATATGTAGATATGTGTCGTCTCTCATGATCTATTTTTTACATGAATTTTGGACCTAATTTTTTAGAAATATATACTATCATCCAAACCACTAATATATATATATAAAAAAAAAAAAGATCATTTTTAAATAAAATTTTTATACCCTTAGAATTTATTTCTTTCGGAGCGACCACCACTGTACGGCCATGGATGTTTTATGCGTGGGGGAACACAAACATAGGATTGCGTCTCTGATGCATAAAACACTTTTCCTTTAAATATACAGCTTCTATTGTAACATCCTTTAAATAAAAAGCAAATAAATTTGCCTAGATAACAGTCCACTTTTTCTAGTGAACTCACAAGAACATGGAAAATGCAGGTGGTGGCAATCACTAAATTGTTAGAGCTCATGAGGACCATGGAGCCTAGGTTGATCTCATGAGTCACATTGGATGGATTGTTAAGACTTGAAATTTTCAATCAAAAGCCTATTAAGAAGAAGAGAAATATAAACATGGTTTTGATGGTGTGAATGAAAACAATGGATTGATGTATCTTCAAGCAACTATTTGAAAGGGCTGTCTCAGCCCCTCGAATTTTGGTCTAAACCCAATTCCACCAGCCAAAAAACACACCCACAAGTTTATTTGCAGAATTGCATCAAAGGCATCACGCATTAAAGAAAAAGCATTGTGCGAAGATCTCACCTTTCTTTTCTTCCATCAATATTTTGAGATAGAATGCCAAAAAATTAGTTGATATTAGAGGGAGTTGATGAGGTAAATCATTTCATTGAAATATAGAACTAAATGCTTTTAGATATACGAGTGTTTTAGTAAGTTCAATTTTTAGTTATCATTATATACATTTTTGGACACTTGATAGTTGATACCTTTATCCTATAATGTAACACCTTTTTGTCCAGAGGTATTTTAAGTAATCAAGGGTAAAATAAAAAATTTAAATAGAAATGAAAGCATTTATTAACTATAATAGACAATGACATCATCGACAGGATGTGTGATATCACCCACATAAAACATTAATTATTTTTTAACCACTAATAGAATGCTACTAATTTTTTATAAAATTATATACTCTGCCTCTTCTAATGACCAAAAATACCATTGCTCGTAAAATTTCATAGGGTTTTTCAAAAGTCAACAACCTCTAAAAATACAAAGATTAATAGTAGAAGGGGTTGTGGTGGGTGTATTTATCAAAAAGATCATTACTTTTGTTAAAAAAAATAATTTTAATAGGTAACTTAGCCATTGAGCAATGACAAATTTGAAATTTTTTAAATTTAAAAATTTTACTGAAGGACAAATGCATACTATATTTTTTACCTCTTATGGATATGACAAAAATATCTCTTATCTTATAATGTAATTACAAAAACACCATTTTTTAATGAACAAAATAGCGCAAAAGTAAATTTTTTATAAATAAATCATAAAGTTAATAAATACACCATTCACAACCCATTATATCATTAATCTTTGTAATTTGAACTGTTGTAAACTTTAAATTATCCCAATTTTATATTATCTAAGTGTTTAGAAATGTTGATAACTTTAAAGATCTCCACCACATATGGTGTAGTGTAATAAAACCCTTTACAAATAGATGTCATGGAGAGGTATGCCGAGCAAAATCAATCAAATTTGCTCCGGAGGTACGTTCCCTTTGAAGAGATAGTTTTCTCATATTTTCCCTTTTTCGTTGCTCTGGAGGTACGTTCCCTTTGAAGAGATAATTTTCTCATATTTCCCCTTTTTCGTTGTTTCAATAAATTAGGGTCATTATATCTGATATTAGATGTACGACCCCGAACATGATGGATAGAACTCGTGGACATGAAGGTTTACAGGAAGCAGAATAAAAATTGGAAGCTGAGTTCCTAGAGTTGAAGGAAAACTCAGAACAACAACGTGTCGATGCTGAGATTGAAAACTCTCTTCCATACAATACATTGGAAATAAGATAAACTATCAACACTTGGTTCTTACAATTGAGAAGAAGGACTAGGCGACAAATCTAATGCAAGAAAGCCAGGATCAGGACCAACAATGGAGTCGGTCTGAACTCGAGTTCTCCCACTTTGCCGGAGAGATCCGGCAAGGTGGATCTATAAAGCGTATCAATTATTTGACTACCACCTTACCCCGGGGTTCCAAAAGGTAACACTAGCTTCTTTTGATCTTGAAAAGGGCCCTCCAATGGTAACAAACTACAGAGTTACATGAATGACATTCATGAAAGAAAGACATGTG